TAACTGAATTATCAAGGAATTAATGAATGACGATAATATTTTCGTATACCTCGCCCAGTTATGATGACTCTACAAGTCTACAAGGCATATTAACATTTCAAACTAAGCTTTTCCTTGGAATATTAAATTACCCCCATTTCATTGGGACTCGCGTTTCCCATGTTCCTGCCCTGGGGTAATACGTATTCAACACATCCTACATCCACCTCATTTGCCGTACGAATCCGCTGAAAAATGGAAAACACCTTGGAAAATGGCTCTCCAGACGACCTCTTACGTCATAATGAACGTCGAACCGGAGGTACTCTATCACAACTGGCACTGCGTTTTTGTGAGACATTAGGTACGAGAAGAAGTTTCATATTCGCGCACTGGGCATCATCAAAATGAAAAACTAGGGCAGAATAACACGAGTTTCATTCTTTGGTGCAGCGGATGTGAAATGGGCGAGTGGACTGATAATGAATCATTGGCATTCAATTACTCCACTGCATCCTTAAGAAACTAAATTAATTTTTGCTACACTTTTCACGCTCTTTTTTGTGTAAATAATGAGTCTATGCGTTGTTCTACTCATGAAGCAAGTTAGTCAAGTCACCAATTACACTCAGTTCCAAAAAAAGTGACGCACTTGATATTTGACATATCTTCTTAAAAAAAAATAGCAGGCCGATTTTTTTTTCATTTGTTTGTAGGTAATGCATTTGTCTTGAAAAAACATTTTTTCAAAGCCTCCTTGAAGGTGGTGGAATAACTCGAACCATGATTAATTCTTGATTTTTGACTCACCCTGTGTGTTAATTGAGTAATGGCATAAAAAGTGCTTGTACCCTATACGAAAGAGGCTTCTTTTGCGAGCATTTTGTTTTTTTATTCATTGATTCATCTCTAGAATTTTCCGAATTACAGCTTTCTTTGCTGAATCCTTGCAGATTACCAACTTTCTGAATTTATCGAGAAACAATTTTTTAATGAAATAAACTGATACCAATAATTTTCAAAAACATTTTTATTAATCACAAAACCATAAATTGAGATGACTGCTTAATACCGTGTATTGCCTCCTCTAGCAACTCTAAGAACTTCTAATCTACGAGGCATACTGGAAATTAAGTTGCTTATCGTTTCCATTGGTATACGATCCCATTCTTCCACTAATGCATCTGCCATTTCTGCGACACTTTCCGGAGACCTCTCGCGAGAACTTACCCTTCTCCCTAATTCATCCCACAAATGTTCTATAGGATTCATATCGGGGCTTCTCGCAGGCCATTGTAATGTGGTAATACCAGTAGCTTCTAAGAAGTTTCGCACTATTGCTGCGGTGTGTGGTGGGGCATTATCCTGCATCAATATAAAATTATTGCCCACTAACTCTGCATTAGGTTAGACATACTGCTCTAAAATGTCAATGTAAATTTGGGCATTCATCGACTGCCTTACCGGAAAAACATGAAGGGGTGTCTTTCCATTCATTGAAATCCCTCCCCACACCATTACGGACCCACAATTAAAACTTTCGCATTCTGTTATTAAATTTTGATTAAACCGTTCACCAGTTCTTCTCCACACTCGTTTTCTTCCATCCACCATGTTAGGGCAAAACCTTGACTCATCCATAAACAAGACATTCGACCATTCAGGAATATTCCACTCTCCATAATTTTCAACAAAATTTCTTCTAGCAGCACGATGTTTGGGCAATAATTTGGGATCTTTTGCAGGTCTCCTGGCTTTTAAATTAACTTCTTTTAGGCGTCTACATACCGCCTGCTCACTTACGCAACATCACAAATTTGGCGAAGATCTTGCTGAACATTTACCGCAGTATTTGATCGATTCCGTAAAATCCGCAATCCCAAGAAGCGATCATCTCTTGGAGAAGTTTTTCGGGGGCGACCAGAACCGACCCTCCGAGCGGTGCTTCCTGTTTGTTCGTACTTGCGGATTGCTCTACGAGCAGTTGCTTCATGAACTCCTACTGCACGAGCGGCGTAACGTTTACTACGCCTATCGTTTACTAACGCAACTAATCTTGCTACTTGTTCAGGACTTATTTGAGGCATTTTATGTAATTTTAGTCAATAAATCAAGACACTTAATCAATGACACAACGGCAAATGGTCAAATACAGCAAATTAGTTGCTATGGCAACGGCATTTGTTTTTTTAAAATGTGATCCTACCAGAGTACAGCCCAATCAATTTTGGGTACTCTGATCCTTCAATAAATTTAATTTGTGGGATAAGCGTGAGGTATCAGCAAAAAACCTGTAATTCAGAAAATTTTAAAGATAAATCAATGAATAAAAGAACAAAATGCTCGCAAAAGAAGCCTCTTTCGTATAGGGTGTAAGCACTTCGAATACCATTACTCAATTAACACAGAGGGTGAGTCAAAAATCAAGAATAAATCATGGTTCTAGCTATTCCACCAAAATCAAGGAGGCTTTGAAAAAATGTTCACCTCTTTATTTTTTTTTGAGACAAATGCATGACGTACCAACGAATAAAAAATAAATCGGCCTACTATTTTTTTTTTAAGATAGGTCAAATATCAAGTGCGTCACTTTTTTTGGAACTGAGTGTATAATCAAGTTATCAAAAAGATGTTAAGAGTCCTGTCGTTGAATAGAACATAATAGGAGGAATCCATGATGTTTTAGTTCATGCATGGCTTTTTCGAGCAACCAGCATGCCAATCTGACGAATGTTTAATCTCTTGCAGAGTATACCGGGTGATTCAAGTTTTAAGGTACAAACTGGAATGGGTGATAGATCTTATCATTTTGATCAAAGAAGTGCATATGTGTCCAATCTCGATCAGTAGCAGAAATAAAGGGGTCAGAGTTCATCCATTTTTTTACAGGGTGTAAGTTAATTTATGGCTAAAAATATAGGATTTGGTCCCTGAAGCTCATTATAAGTAGAAAAGTTCATATGAGCATATGCTCTAAACCTCTTAACTTTCGAACTATAGGGTGTTGAAATTTTGAGAAAAGTTTGTTTACTTATGAAATATCGAAACAGATCTACAAAATTTTGCCATACAGTGTTGTTTTTGAAATGAAAGGAGTTTTCTGTTTTTCCTCGAATCGGGGCTGGATTCTGATCCCAATTTTCATTTGGTTTCGATGAGTAATATAAGTGAAATGTTTCTACCAAGTATGGATAGATTATACAAAGTGGTTCAAAAGTTATGACCCGATAAAGTTTTTGCTAAAATCAAGATAGCGTCCTCTATTTCAGTTATAGAAGACGGTAGACACCTCAACGGCGGGAGGGTGATTTGGAACAAGTGCCGGATTAAAGTGGAGGGCATCCGGGGCTACAAACCTGGGGTCTCCACAAAAAAAGGGGCCCCCACAATAGAGAAAAAAAAATCTATCGACTATCGACGGGTAAACACTCGTGAACAACTTTTCCTTCAATATTTTTTATCGAAAAGTTAAGTTCGTTCTTTTACCCTTAGTACTTTGTAGAAACATGATTACATTATGTTGAAATATTTAAAAATAATTCGAATATATTTGTTAACTCCAAACTGGAAATATCAATTTGTCGAAATGGCCCTGATAAGCAGTTGGTGCCATTTACTACCCATCTTGATAGAGTATCCCGATGGCTGAGTGGGGAATACTTGTCCGTATAGTCTCAGACGGTGGGTGTTCGTTCATACGTTTTTATCAAAGAGGAAAAAAATCAATCTACTGAGGTATTTCAATACGACATTCTTGGAGATGAAAGTTGAAGAATTACATTCCCGAACATTTAAATTTCATTTAGAATGTATTTGGTTTTGATAACATCGAATTGCCCTGGAGGACGCTCATTTTCAAGAATGAAAATTATAAAAAATAGGCTTCGAACTCCGATGGGACAAAACCTTTCTTCAGATAATTCTTGTTCATGACAATATTTATGCTGGGTGTTTCTTAAGTATGCGTAAAAATTACAGGAGCATGTTGCTGACGATAAACATATGTCCGCAAGTTTTTCATTCCTGAGATACGAACATCAGTCAAAGTTTGATTGTTTTTTTCCTTCTGTTTCTTGTGAGTTGATTTAGAAATGAACGTGATATCAAAGTGAAATTTGGTATCTCAGCTGAATATCACGATTATTTTGGAATTCATTGACCAAAAAACGAAATAACAATCCAAATTTGACACTCATCTGTATCTCAAAATGAATTACTTGCGGAAATATGTATAAATAAACTCTTCTTCCAATTTAAACGTCAACAACATGGTTCTGAATTTTCTACACGTACTTAAGAAACACCCGACGGCGACCCATCAAACGAAACAAGAGGAATCTTGTCGATATGGGTACCTGGGGTGATGAGGATCAGGTCGTACATACGGCCTAATGCCTCACCAATTGGGACTCCAGGGGGCAGCGGTTTCCAAAAAACACCACCGGACTACGGTAGAGGAGGTGAAGAAGAATCCCATTATGGGTCAAGTGGTTGGATATCTTGCCTGCCGTTACATAACGGAGATTGGGCGTATCCAAAATTTTCCATTTCTCCCTGGGGTGTGCTGTCGGTATAAGTCGAGAGACAGGTGACCGACAGTCATCCCCTAGGGGAGTCTTGTGAAAGGGGGATGGGACTTGGTCTCACCCGTTGCTACCCTGGCAACATTATTGATATGATATATATGGATATGTTATTATAATTAAGTTGGATTCGCAAAAAATTATTGACCAAGAAATTTCTCAATTTTATATGGAAAACAATTGGGAACCAGGAGGTTTCCAAACTTTTGTTGCCCACTGGAGCCCAGACCTCGAAATCCGGCTCTGTTTGAAAGCATCAAAGTGTCTTCTATCTGTAGGTATCGTATGTACATTCAAATCTGGGACAACCTTATATTTTCAGTTCTAGTTCATCCTTCTCGCGAATACGTGGAAATAATACATAAAATGAATATTACTCCATTCAGATGGGCCATAGAAATTATCACTTCCGAAGCACACAAGTACTTTTTCGCTCACCTATAGACGATGCCTTTGTTGTGAAGGAATTTGAGACCGGAAACAATTTCTGCGCCGTAAAACCTGGCCTGGTTTTCCGGAAAGCGGCCGGACGTCTGGATGTGAAACATTAGGTCGCCACCGTTCAGGTATTCCATGACGAAGAAAAGGTGCGACTGAAACAAACCACGAATTTATGTCCTCATAAACCTTTGAAAAAATACACTGACCGGCAAAATACCGGCCAGAAAAACATGTTGCCCAATTGATCGCCCTGTAACTTTTCTGATTATTGTCTGGTAAACTTCCGAACAGATCATAGATTCAAACTTCATGGTCCCCAATCGAGCAAAAATCCAAGAAACGATCCATTTCTGAATGTTTAACAATAATTTTTTGTTCATGGAACATCGTGCGTGCCTACACTCAAAGAAATAGTATGGGTTCAATTGCAAAAAAATGTGTTCAAACAGAACATCATTATAATTGTTGAATAAAACTATACAATGATGTTACATTCAATGATTAGGTGATCGTTTTGCTCACTCTTATAGTTAGTAATCAAACGGAAAGGGAGGTAAAATCAACCTACAACTATTTCAAATCACACTAAAGATAGTATTTAATAGTATCTTATGTAACAAGTGTTATAATAGTTATTTATGTAATAAGGATAATAAAGACGATCATTATGGTACAAGTCGTGAATGTTAGCGTAGCGTAGCCGAGTCCGATAACACGGCGTGTGCCATAATGATTGTTTATGATTCGTATTACATACAAAATTTTATCTGATGGCATTTATATCAATACATTTTCGAAAAATTAAAAACTGCATTTTCGACATGTCACAATGACAACTATTTTTAAAGGGGTAAGTATTGTGTAGTTTTAAATATTAGTAGGTGAGTGAGCTGTGCTTTGCCATTATATTAATATTACAAATTGTAGTAATTGTTCTTTTACCATTTATAATAAATAGTTTTGTACATAGTTATGCATTTTGAATAAACTTTTTTGATCAAACCATTACATGTTCTCCTTATAGAATTTCATTATGGTACTTAGTACCATAATGAGCTTCCTTATGTCATCAAAATTGAGTGACATAACGTTGTCATTATGACATGCCATCAGATAAACGTCCTTTTAGTAACGAGTAGTTTAAGCACGAGCGGAGCAGAGCGGAGCGAGTGTTTAATAAACGAGTGTCTAGAAGAGTTTATAAACGCGTTACATACTATGATTTTTCTACGAACTCCGAAAATCACATTAACATACCTGTTATTCCTGCTAACCTACAAAATAATTCGAAAGGAATAGGAACTGAGAACATAATACATGCAACTGCATGCAACCAGCGAGACACGTATAAGTGATATTGGTTGTAGATGTGTCCAGTCCATTGCTTACTAACCTCTGTTACACGTTCATTGTCATGCTTATAGCGCAGAATAAATAAATTGTTCTCAAAGATGGATGCTTCATTTTTACACTTCTTGGAGATATGCAAGTACCAGAACATTCTCTTCGATTTCACTCTCGTCTACTTTTCGCATATATTTTTAATGAAGAATTCTGATAAAAACGAATATTGTTTGAATAATTCTGATACAAAATTCGAAAATAACAGTTGACAGTCAATACAATTGACAGTCCAGATATGTCTCAAATTACTGAAGCTGTGTTTAATGAACTGCGTTGCCATGGTAATGTGTTTAAGAAATCGTGTTGCCATGGTAACGTGTTTAATATTTTGAATAAATCACAGATCGTCAATTCGTGATTAATCGATCATTTAGCGTGGTACATATAGTTATGTGAGTAGAAAAACTCTATTATGTTGTATAACTAATATACTTTTACAGCTCGTTCACTGTCATAGTTGGTAGACAAACGAACAGTAGGTTAAAATCAACCAACCTTTTTTGAAGGCTTGACAATGAGCTTGTCTTCTTCCCATTGGTATTTGCAGGGCGACAGCGACTACAAGAGATTTTGTTGCTGGCGTCTTATTTGGTTCTTTGTGTTGTGGCTTCATATTATTCTGATATAATCATTTTACATTATACATATTCTGCAATGAAGTGAATTTGGTGAGTCGATTTGGTAATCACTGTATTCAATATCGAGTTTCGATTTAGTTCTAAATTTGGTAATGATTTAACACACTGTATAAAATTATTGCTTAAGTTCCTCTTTTTCTCAAGACTCTCCAATTTTTGGATCATTCAGTACAAGAGAAGTGGATGTATCCACAGGGAGGTTGTATATGACAAGTACCAGAGCCATACAAGCAGATTGGTAAAATTTTGAAATCTCTCGTCAAGGAGTACCACTGATGTAGTCTTCCCAATTAATAATCATGATGAAGAGAATTCATCAGATGATGGGAATTATGTGATGGTGGGTATTATTCATGAATTCAATCAATTCAATATTAAATTCATATTTCGATTCTACACTTTTCTTGCAGGAAGAAGATGATAAACTGTGGTTGCAATTAAATAACGTTCATTGAGTGTCATAAAGGATAAATGGAAGAGTTTACGGAGACGAGAAATTACAAATGAAGAGAAATATACTGTAGATATTTTGTAAAGGTAGTCACCATTCGACAATCAGATAATAATTTTGTTTTGGTAAAGATGAAACAATTTTTTGGTAAATAATATAATGTTGGTATGTTTTTCAGGTTGGATTGGACTTCTCCAACTAACATGAAGAGGAAAGAAGTTTTCAACAATATTACTCATGTTGAAGGAGTAGACACACTAGGAAAATGTTAATTCTATTTTTCGTTGCGAACTAAACATGTCGAAACATGTCGAAAAATTGATGTAATAATGAATAAACTTGATGTTCATTCGAAATCTGTATTAATTCAGTGGTTGAAGAACCTGAAAAATAGTCAATATACCTATATCTACTATACACTTCGTTGGTGAACCAAATATTATGGCTATCTATACAAAATATCAGTGGAGGAACAAATATGATGGTTAACATACCACTCATTTTGTTGTGAGACTAAAATCTGGTTGATAACAAATTTTCTTGATCAAAACAAGAATTCCATTCTTATGGTAGCTAAACATATTCAACTATTGTTCGCTGGTTGGTATAATTCTCAAACCAGATAGGCTCATTATCATATGCTCATTTTGGTTGATTCAACCCATCAATTTCTTTGAGTGTAGGGAGGATAGGGAGAGGCTTTTCAAGCCAGTTCAACACTATTTTTCATAATAAGCTGAGCACATTACAACTATAAAATTATATTTCTTGATATTGTAGAAAGAATGTTGTTTGCAACTCGAGCGCGAAATACTTTGGGCATCTCATCTCATCTCAAAAAGTCAGTTCTTGGTCACCAAAGTAGCATTTCCACCAATAGATACAAAAATAACTATTCATCTAAGAAAACTCACCTCCGTTTGGAAAGTACATAGAAGATGGCAAAGGTATGGATGTTTTGTTCCTAGAGCTAAAACTTTCCTTTCGATTAGAGTGCATTCAACGTCATCATCTTCCAGGACTACATCCTTCTTCAGACACTTGACGGCATAGTAATATTCTGTACTCTTCAATTCTGCCAAGAGAACCTGGAATATAACAAAAAAATCATTTGAATGTTCAAAATCATACTCGAGGAGTTCTCAGAGGTCGGGGGTATCTTTTGAATGACTTTGAAAACGGATCTGGCGTGATCGCGATATCTAAAATGATCTCAATAGACAACAGTTGGACATTCCAGTAAAAACGTTCAGTTGTGGTGGATGTAGCGTAGTTATGATTTTCGTAAAATTTGTCTATCGCTACTTCAATGTTGGGAACCAACTCCCCAGAAGTCGAAACTTGTGCAAAGTGTTGCATCAACTTGAAAAAATGTTTGAACTTCGAAACCACCCCGAGAACCACCCTGTTTGTATGAATATATGATCCAGCATTCTCTTGCTCTCAATGCTCTCATTCTCCAGCTGTCACCAGATTGGGGATCTGAGAAATTTAGCATTCAGATATATTTTACGTGCTATCATAGCATATGCGTTGTGGGTGTCGCCATTATATATTCTATAAATAAAGTGCATATAAAACTGTCAACTCCCTAAAATGGGCTCGTTTCCCCAGGAATTGTCTGCTGCATAAACAATACCAAGAAACAGCGAAAGCCACAATAATGAATGTGCTCCTCTATTTTGTAAACTTTGTTTCAGCTAGTGCATGAAAATTGAAAGGATTGGAGTATTTTGCTTTTGTTTCATTCTCGAATCATAACTTCTATAACTGTAACGGTACAATTCGATACAACGAATCTCTTTTCTGAATGAACAATAACTTCAATTATACCAGTAAACGGGTGCCCCAGAGATTACAAATCCATAGTTTCAGCTGTGTAAACAGTTGATAGTTATTTACATTTTGAACTTCTATAACTTTGATGTAAGGTAGGTGAAAACAATAATAGAGAGTTGAAGCATAGATCTATAAATACACACCACTGTACGTATACCTCCACGTATACGTTAACGTACGAAAATAGTATATTATGTAACAAGTGTTATAAACGTCCTTTTAGTAACGAGTATTTTAAGAACGAGCGGAGCAGAGCGGAGCGAGTGTTTAATAAACGAGTGTCTAGAAGAGTTTATAAACGCGTTATATACTATGATTTTTCTACGAACTCCTAAGATAACATTAACATACCTGCTATTCCTGCTAACCTACAAAATAATTCGAAAGGAATGGGAATTGAGAACATAATAGATTCAACTGATGCATGCAACCAGCGAGACACGTATAAGTGATATTGGTTGTAGATGTGTCCAGTCCATTGCTTACTAACCTTTGTTTCACGTTTATTGCCATGCTCAGCGCAGAATAAATGAATTGTTCTCAAAGATGGATGCTTCATTTTTACACTTCTTGGAGATACGCAAGTACCAAAACATTCTCTTCGATTTCACTTTCTTATTATACATGTCGCATATATTATCAATGAAAAATTCTGATACAAACGGAAATTGTTTAAATAATTCTGATACAAAATTCGAAAATGACATTTGACAGTTAATACAATTGACAGGCCAGACATGTCTCAAATTACTGAAGCTGTGTTTAATAAACTGCGTTGCCATGGTAATGTGTTTAAGAAATCGTGTTGCCATGGTAACGTGTTTAATATTTGGAATAAATCACAGATCGACAATCCGTGATTAATCGATCATTTAGCGTGGTACATATCCGTACGATAAATGCCATTTTAGTTATGTGAGTAGAAAAATAACGTTTACGTATGTTCTTTGAATTGAGTTGAAGTCGTCATTTGGTCGTCAATGTCATCGTAACGTAATTATCAATATAATAATACATTTTTTCCGTCGACCTCGTATTAACGAATGAGTTTAATGTATATGAAATCGTTTATTAATGACCCCTATTAATGAACGATTTGTCTATTAATGCACGATTGTTTTATAGACAACCAAACATACACCGCGTGCATGCATTGTTTATGCTATAACGGAATTTGCATTTAAATCGCAAATATGGATTTCATCGAAGATTTTCCGTTTACGGGTTCGCCTTTCCAAGTTTCTGACACGATTTCAATCCCTGTTTTCTAACACAAGGAATATATTTCTAACACAAGGAATATATTTTCTATGTTGATCATTTCGACAAATGTCATTAATGTCAGTAACAAGGCTACTGGGTGATTCTTAGCAGTTTCCGGATGAATGATGAATTCGCGAACCAAGTTTTCTTCATTGCAGGAGAAAAGAGAAATATAGTCGACGGATTAATGATCTCGAACATTAACGCGCTCGCTTCGCTCGCACGTTAATATATCTCGATCATTAATCGCCCTCATTAATACACTAGTTGGTTGAATAACTATTCCGTCGACCTCGTATTAACGAGTAGGTAAGTTTAATGTTTATGAAATCGTTCATTAATGACCCCTAATTAATGATCAATTTGTCTATTAATGCACGATTATTTTATATGCAACCAAATATACACCGCGTGCATTCATTGTTTATGCTATGACTTACGGAATCTGCATTTGAATCGAAAATATGGATTTCATCGAAAAATTCTCGTGAACGGGTTCGCCTTTTCAAGTTTCTGAAACGATTTTAATCCTTGTTTTCTAACACAAGGAATTTATTTTCTATGTTGATCATTTCAACAAATGTCAAATGACACTAATGTCAGTAACAAGGCTACTGGGTGATTCTTTCCTGATGAATGGTGAATTCGCGAACCAAGTTTTCTTCATTGTAGGAGAAATGAAAAATTCAGTCGACGGAAAAATGTTGTAACCAACTCGTATATTGAAAGGCGATTAATGATCTCGAACATTCATTGCCCTCATCAATACACTAGTTGGTTGAATAACTATTGACTTCGGTTTGTATTGGTCATTTCTAGTTGTTTGTTTAGATCTGAACATTTATTCATGTTGAAATGAGAAGACTCATTGCAGAACTCCTTGAGTATCCCGAAATTGATAATTTTGACTCATCAGCATATTTCGAGTATAGTTTGATTAACGTACGTTGATATTTAAGGTATAAGTGAAAGTAATAAGTAAGCCCACTACCAACGCAAACGGTAAAATTTCGATACTTTTCCACGATTCGAGAGTCGGGGACTTCCTATAGACATAGATTAACGTTAATCTATGCTATAGATGATACAAAAATCGATAAGTACAAAAATAGTATCAATATTTTATGAAGATAATCTGTTTTCAGTGGTCGAAGTTTCCAGCTGTTTTCAAGGTTGGCAATGAATTGGTGAACTCGTCCATTGGAAAATGCGCTTGAACGTAAAGGTAGAAATTGAAAGCTACTTCGAATTTAATTGCACTAGTAGAAGCTTCACTTTACTATCAACAAAACCACAACGTTTAGTTGATATTGATGAAAAGACAATTGAGAAATGAATAATATCTCGAAAACGAATCAAATTAGGCCACATGTTCATATGAACATTATTTCCTAAAACATCACAAGTTTTTCGGTGTTATTTAGATACACCATGTATTGCCGTAAATGTGTAAAGCGTATGGAAGAATAATTTTGTGCATCAAATTCGATTTTTACAAAAGTGGATAAGGCAAATTTTGATGTGGAACCACTCATTTCGTAGCCTTACCTTGCCGAAGCTACCTTTACCGAGAACCTTCAGGAAGCTAAAGTCATCGAAGCAGTACTTCCTGAACCACAAAATGGCGTGTTTCGAAATAATGGTGTAGTTGGATGAGGCCAGTTATGAATATTCTTGGTTTGAATGTCGATATACAGGGTGAATCTAAATAACACCGAAAAAATTCAAGGGGTGTTTCCTTGTGATATTTTAGGAAATAAAGTTTATATAAACATGTGTCCTAACTTGCTCCGTTTTTGAGATACAGGATGTTGAAGTTGGAAGTATTTATTGTTTTATTCATAACACCCCTGTATTATAAGCTTTCATGGTGCGAAACTTCAGTATAAATGGAGACTGAGAAAGCCCCAAAATTTCAATTCTAATTGGGGTAATTGGATAATCTGAATGGAATTCTTGAAAACACCTACATTAAAATTTGGAGTCAAATCGCTTTTTAATTGTTTCCTCAAAAACAAAGCTGGATACAAAGATCACACAAAGAATAAAAAAGTTGTTATCGCAATAGTTCAATCTAATAAAAATATGAAACTCAGAAAAACCGGTAGCTTCCAATGACATTCACCATGAATATCGATAAATTTACCCACTGTGACGCCACTGGAAATATCACTTCGAATCTAATTGCTCTCGAAGAAGCTACATATTACTATGAACAAAACCACAACGTTTTATTGAAATTGGTGAAAAGACAATTGAGAAATGAATAGATAAAAGATTTTTCATGGAAATATTTATACCCTGTATCTCGAAAACGAAGCAAGTTAGGACACATGTTTATATAAACTTTATTGCCTAAAATATCACAAGAAATCACCCCTTGAATTTTTTCGATGTTATTTGTATTTGTAAAGCATCAAAGTCGATTCGTACAAATGTGGATAAGGCAGGTTTTGATATGGAACCACTCATTTTGTAGCCTTACCTTGCCGAAGCTACCTTTGCCGAGCACCTTCAGGAAGTTGAAGTCATCAATGCAGTACTTTCTGAACCGCGGTATGGTCGTAGCAGGCGGCGTGATCCTGCCGCTTTTCTGGAATCCGGAGAAAGTGCTCGACTGGGAGCACTCTTCCGGCAGGTCGCCGAAGTCCAGAGAAAAAGCAGGATTGCTGGAGGGTTTCACGTCCGGTGAGTCGCGGCTATCCAGGGATCCTGCGACAGAAAAAAAGGTGGTTTTCGATCTGTCTGCTCAAACTTAGCGCGTTTTCGATATTAATAATCATTACCTATTAATATCCTACTATTAGCTCCACCTGTATGTACGTATGTGTGCTTGCATGGTAACAGACTCCTTTGGACTCGATGTTGAGTTTTTGACCCACTTTAAACGACTCGATTGATTTGATATTGGGCAGGTGTACATAATTCTGGCGGACAAGTTTTGTAATTATGATCCGATTCCATTCAAAATTGGTATCTAGGGGCCAGGTAGCCGTGCAGACAGAGTGTCAATATTCCAATCCGCATTCGCTTGCCGGTCGTGGGTTCGAATCCCATCGACTGCAGAAATTTTTCTGATGGCCCAATGTTTCACACGTTAAAAGGTAAGGCCCCCGTAATTCCTTGCTCGCACAAGACTCTCGAAGACTTCTGAGGGTTGTTCGTAAGGGGGCAACCGGATGACGGATTGAACCAGTTTAGAACAATTTTAGGGCATTTCAAGGATGGAGATGAGGATGCATTCGTCAAAATTGGTGAATTCAATATGGCGGATCCAGTATGGCGGACGAGCAATGTAATTATCATCCGAAATCATCCAAAATTTGTACCTGGGGGTCTTCGGGATCGGAGATTATGATTCTTTTGTCGAAATTAGAAAATTCGAGATGGCGGAATTAATATGGAGGATGAGTTTTGTGATTATATGATCCGATTCTATTCGTAATTTTTATCTGGGGTTTTCGGGCTCGAAGATAATGATCCTATAGTCAAAATTGAGGAAGCAAATGAACAACCTCGAACATTTAACAATAATATACAGTTCTCAACACACTAAATGGACCACTCATAATTTGACTCTATTTCAAAGACATGTATTTTTTTTTTCAAATTAACCGATCTGCATGCGGTTTTCCATATCAGATATGATGTTTCATCGGCTTCAGAGAGAGCTAGAACACTCTGAAAAAGTCCGCAGAACAAAACTTACACAGGGTGTAAAGTGGAACCATTACACTATGGTCTACATTTCCAATGCTGCCAGAACTCGAGAAATTTTTTTTCTGATCAAAAGTCAGTCATATTATGATACACTGGGACCTCATCTCGGGACGTTTTCGTGATTTCTCCTTAATTGGCCATTGGAACAAAAATGCGATTTGTTTTCAAAAGTCCTGCATTTCTTGAATTTTTTCTCTAGAACTTCACTTGAGCTGACTATTGGAAAGAACTGTTCTCATGTTTTGTGGAGGACAATGAAAAACGGAAAAACCACTACTGTGGTATATACAGGATGATAAGAAAATAGGACGAAATCTCTTTTCAGTAAAAAAACAAAAATGGTGACTAAAATCATGACCCATTCGATTCAGTATATTCAAAAACGGCCTTCTCGATATCCATCATTCATATCAGACTATTAACTCAAGACGTGTTCGAAAATTCGCCTCCAATTGAAATACAGGATGAAAATTTTCAATTCAACCTTGTTTCCTGATATCGATTATTCATATCATTTTATAAACTGATTTTCAATATCTAGTGCCCAAGTATGGGACACAGAGTATTGATGTTCAATATACTGAGTGTTTCACAACTTATCTGACAAATTACGAACTCTAGAATACCAGAATGTTAGAAGAATGTGGTGACCAGCATTATCTCCAGATCTGAATTTGATTGAACATGTGTGGACTCGATCAACAATCTCATAGAATCTATGCCAAACCGATTTCATGAGGTTTTGTCAAATCGGGGAGGTCTACCAAGTACTGAAATTTAGGATATAGGACTTTCTAGATGGATCTTCATAATGCTGAAGAATTCACTGATGTCATATTTCGCCAATAGAGCCCATTTCGAATAGTTTTAAACCACAGCCGTCTTCAACTAACTTTAGTGGATATAAAGTGTTACAAATACAATTTTCCATGTCGTTTTACTTCTATAATTTTTTTTGTGATAGACTCCTTATTTAATATCGTATTTGTGGTGGAAATTCGTCAGATAAGTTGTAAAACACTCAGTATATTGAACAACAATACTCTGTGTCTCATACTTGGGTAATGAATATTGGAAATCATCGATATCAGGAAACAAGTTTGAATTGAAAATTTTCATCCTGTATCTCAATTAGAGGCGAATTTTCGAAAACGTCTCGAGTTAATAGTCTAATATAAATAATGGATATCGATAAGGCCGTTTCTGAATATACTGAATCGAATGGGCCATGGTTTTAGTCACCATTTTTGATTTTTTTTAATGAAATGAGATTTTGTCCTATTTTCTTATCATCCTGTATATTCCAAAGAAATGTTTCTTCCGTCTTTCATTGTCCTCCACGAAACATGAGAATAGTTCTTCCCAATAGTCAGCTCTAGTGGAGTTCCAGAGAAAGAGGTCAAGAAATGCAAGACTTTCGAAAAAAAAAAAAGGAATTTTTGTTCCAATGGCCAATTAAGGAGAAATCACGAAAACGTCCCGAGATGAGGTCCTAGTGTATCATAATATGACTGACTTTTGAAATATACTGAATCGAATGGGCCATGGTTTTAGTCACCATTTTTGATTTTTTTTTTACTGAAATGAGATTTTATCCTATTTTCTTATCATCCTGTATATTCCAAAGGAATGTTTTTTCCGTCTTTCATTGTCCTCCACGAAACATGAGAATAGTTCTTCCCAATAGTCAGCTCTAGTGGAGTTCCAGAGAAAAAGGTCAAGAAATGCAAGACTTTCGAAAAAAAAAAAAGGAATTTTTGTTCCAATGGCCAATTAAGGAGAAATCACGAAAACGTCCCGAGATGAGGTCCTAGTGTATCATAGTATGACTGACTTTTGATCAGAAAAAAATTTTTCGAGTTCTGGCAGCATTGGAAATGTAGACCATAGTGTAATGGTTCCACTTTACACCCTGTGTGAGTTTTGTTTTGCGGACTTTTTCATAGTATTCTAGCTCTCTTTGAAGCCGATAAAATATCACATCTGATATCGAAATCCGCATTAAGATCGGTAAATTTTTTCAAAAAATAAAGGTCTTCGAAATAGAGTCAAATTAAGAGTGGTCAATTTAGTGTGTTGAGAACTAGATGGAATAATCGATAAACTAGTGGGTAAACAAGGAAATATTGCTAGGCTTCGTACAACCTAGCTTGATAGATGTAGATAAATGTATTCGAAAATCAATCAGATCTTCGTAAGTTGGAGGGTTTGAACCAAGAGCCGTATAAATTCGAGGAATTCCACTAAATAAATCGCTTCATAAACAACAACCCTATCGCCCGCCGCTATCATAAAAACAATAAACTACCCTTCATATCTTTCCCTTAGGATCTCTAGACGGCCAGAACTGGCCATATTCGCATCACGCCAACGACCTTGGACACCAGACACCTCCCCTAGGAAAATTCCCACTAGCCTCCGAAAAAATATCCGAAGTGAACTGAAAATCTCATTTCAATGGAAACTAGCTACTGAATCACAGAATTTACAGCATCGCCCCGTAATTTTTCATCTTGGAAAAGTATTGCAACTGTAAATCGGTACCTACACGGAGAGAAAACGTTGTTTTTCTACGGCTATAACACAAAATTGCTCTTGTTTTACTGTGTTCGATACATCAATGAGATACTTTGTATGTCATCAATTTTATTTCTGTATCTGATATCACAATGACTCTATTGTGTTATTATTTCAAAGAAATCTCAATGACAGCTCTGTCTAATAGATGAGCTTTACTTGAGAGGAAATCAGATGACTACAAGACGAAGAAATCAAAAATATCGCTCTGTTATCTATTACAGCCATGAAACAATTATTATAGTGTATAATTCGTAGTGTATAACAGCATATGAGCCGTGGGAAATCCCTATAATTCCGTGCTCGTTAAACAAGATAATATTTCCGTCGACCTCCTTAACGAAAATGTTTAATGTTCATGGAATTGATCGTTAATGACTCCTATTGATGATCAATATGTCTATTAACCCTGCAGTGGTGACCTGTGATCTCTCAGACCAACCAGAAATGCTTTTTTGAATTTTGGGGCTATTGCACGATGATCCGTTAACAGCTTTCCTTCAGTTCAACCTTTTTTTGTGTATCTTCGCGCACTGTGAACCAGAAAGCGCTAGCGTTAGCACGAAGCTAGCAGTAATTGTTTTCGGACTGTCAGACTGCATCCCAACAACTTGATTTTCTGTTTCGGGCCAGGTGCTATTTACTTCCAGTCAGCTGCTTATGATCTATAAGGCACAGATCCGACCTGTCCTGAAATACTGTTCCCATACTTGGGGTGCATCACCCAAACATACCCTGAAACTGTTGGATTCTGTCCAGAAAAGGACAATTCGTCTCGTGGGTGATGCCTCGCTCACAAACTCACTCACTTCTCTGGAAAACCGTAGAAAAGTTGGCGATCTAGCTCTATTTTATAGATATTTTCATGGACGATGCTCTTCTGAAATATCAACAATTGTTCCTCCCTTGGCACCCCTTCGTGATCACTTTGGAGATCTGCAGAACATCTCTTTCCAAAGACTCGTTCATCCAACGAACAGCGAGGCTCTGGAGCACATTGCCAAAGGAGGTGTTCCCGAGGCATAAAACCTCCCGAAATCTAAAAAGAACACCAATTCCTACCTTATTTTCCTTGGTTCTCACGATGTTCTCCGAACATTACAGGATATCCCTTTTTGTGGGAACCATAAAATTAAACCTGTATATTTTTACAATTTGGAACATTCTAGAAAAGGATTAACACTTATACGATATTTTGAGTATGAGTTGCCTTGAATCTGGATAATTTACAATTTATTAGTATATTTCTCATCGATCCGCCTTGTAAAAGTGTGGCAATATTTTTAATACAATGAATTTTCATATTTACCCTGTTGCTGACAGAGTTCTTCGTCACACACTAGTATAAATGTTACCAAAATTCATTATTTACCAAAATTCAGCACTATTTATTTGTTGGCTATAAAAGCTGTGGA